CAAGTAAGTTCATCAAGGTCACAGAATATAAAATAAACATAAAAAACCAATTGCATTTTGGGGCACCTGCCTGGCTCAACTGGTAGAGAATGCAACTCTTGATCTTAGGGTTGTGAGTTTGAGCCCCACATTGGGTGTAGAGATTACTTTAAAAAAAGTTAGGGTGCCTGGGTGGTTTAATTGGTTGAGTGTTCAACTCTGGATCTCAGCTCAGGTCATGATCTCAGAGTCATGAGTTAAAGCCCATGCTGGGCATGGAACCTACTTAAAAAAAAAAAAGAAAAAGAAAAAAGTCAATATACTAGCTATGACCACATGGCTACTGAAAATAAAAATATAATATTGTTTACAATTAAGAGAAAAAAGAAAGAAATACTTAGGTGTAAATGTGAAAAAACATGTACAAGGTGTGTGTATACTGAAAATGACACAATGCTGATGAATGAAAAAAAGAACATCTGTATAAATGGAGAGATATACTTTCTTCGTGGATTAGTAGCTTCAACCCAGTAAAGATGTCAATTCTCCACAAACTGATATATGGATTTAATTAAATTCCTATCAAAATCATAGCAAGATTTTTTTGTAAACATTGACAAGACTATTTTCAAATTTATATGGAAAGGCAAAGGAACTAGAATAGCCGACATAGCTTTGAAAAAGAAAATAAAATGGGAGGAAGAAATCTACTCAGTTTCAATACTTACATACACCTACAGTAATGAAGACTGTGAAGGGGTACCTGGGTGGCTTAGTCGGTTGAGCGTCTGACTTCGGCTCAGGTCATGATCTTGCACTTGGTGAGTTTGAGCCCTGTGTCGGGCTCTGTGTTGACAGCTTGGAGCCTGGAGCCTGCTTCAGATTATGTGTCTCCCTCTCTGTCTGCCCCTCTCCCGCTCATACTCTGTCTCTCAAAAATGAATAAACGTTAAAAAAAATTAAAAAAAAAAAAAAAGACTGTGCAGTGTTGGTGGAGGGTTAGACACATAGACCAATGGAATGGAATAAAGATCCCAGAAACATACCACACAAATATCCACAATTGATTTGTGGCAAAGGGGCAAAAGCAACTCAGTGGAGGAAAGATAGACTTTTCTTTTTTTTTTTTTTTTTTAATTTTTAAATGTTTATTATTTTTGAGAGACAGAGAGCAAGCAGGGAAGGGGCAGAGAAAGAGGGAAACATAGAATCGGAAGCAGGCTCCATCCAGGCCCTGAGCTGCCAGCACAGAGCCGGATGTGCCCCAGACTTTCCTTTCTTTAAAAAAAAAAGGGGGGGGCGCCTGGGTGGCTCAGTCGGTTAAGCAGCCGACTTCGGCTCAGGTCATGATTTCGCGGTCCGTGAGTTCGAGCCCTGCATCGGGCTCTGTGCTGACAGCTCAGAGCATGGAGCCTGTTTCAGATTCTGTGTCTCCCTCTCTCTGACCCTCCCCCGTTCATGCTCTGTCTCTCTCTGTCTCAAAAATAAATAAACGTTAAAAAATTAATTAAAAAAATGTTTTTTAATGCTTATATATTTTTGAGAGAGATAGAGCGCGAGCAGGGGAGGCAGAGAGAGAGGGAGACACAGAATCCGAAGCAGGTTCCGGGCTCTGAGCCGTGTGCACAGAGCCCAACATGGGGCCTGAACACACGAATCACAAGACAAGACATGACCAGAGCTGAAGTCAGATGCTCAACCAACTGAGCCACCCAGGCACCCCAAGACAGACTTTTCAACAAATGGTTATTGAAGTAAATTTCTAGGCCCAAGTTGGAGCCAATCCTGCCCAGGGTGCCAGATCAGCAAACAGAAACTTAGATAACTTTCATGTCCCTGTAAATGCTCTGCTTGACCAGAAACACAGTACATCCACTCAGCCAATCTCTAAACACCAAGCCAACTCTGGGCTCTATACTTATTTCCTTGTTCCTTCCCACTCCAAATAAGTTTCACTATGTTACCCCAGCCAATCAGATATTTTCTATTTTTCTCTTCCTTGTTCTTTATTCTTTATCCTATAAATGCTTCCTGCCTTCTGTCCCATTTCACAGTTCTCCAAATGGAGACTGTCCACTTCATGAAGTATTAAATTAAGTTTGTTTGTATCACCTAAATCGTCTTCTTTAATGATTTTTTTTTTTAACATGGTACTGGAGCAATTGAACATCCATAGGCAAAACAGTGGATTTGTACCTAAATGTTACGTTATAAAAAAGAAATTCAAAGTGGATTACATATTTGAATGTAAAATATAAAACTATAAAACCTTTAGGAAAAACATAGGAGAAAAATCTATGGTTAGATCTAGGGTTAGACAAAATGTTCTCAGACTTAACACCAAAATCATGATCCATAAAAGGAAAAATTGATAAATTATACTGTGTCAAAGTTAAAAATGTTTGTTCTGTGATAGAGTCTGTTAAGAGGATTAAAAAAAAAAAGCTACAGAATGGGAGAAAATACTTGCAAACCACATATCTGACAAAGGACTAGAACATATAAAACATGCTCAAAACACAACATTAAAAAACAAAGAATCCAATTAGAAAATGGGCAAAAGATATGAGATATTTCACTGAAGAGGATATACGGATGTCAAATAAGCCCATGTAAAGATGTTCAATGTTATGAGCAATTAGGGAAATGCAAATTAAAATCACAAGATATTACTTCACACCTATCAGAATCGCTAAAGTAAAAAATAATAACAGGGTGCCTGGATGGCTCAGTTGCTTAAGCCACCCACTCTTGATTTCTGTTCAGGTCATGATCTCATGGTTAGTGGGTTTAAGCCCCTCATTGGGGCTCTGTTGACAGCGTGGAACCCTCCTGGGATCTTGGGATCTTGAGATTCCCTTTCTCTCTCAAAATAAATAAATAAATTTAAAACAAATCAGTAAAGGGGTGCCTGGGTGACCGAATCGGTTGAGCTTCCAACTCTTCTGCTGGAGTAATGATCTCTTAGTTCATGGGTTTGAACCCCAGATCTGGCTCTGTGCTAATGGTGCAGAGCCTGCTTGGGATTCTCTCTCTCTCTCCCTCTCTCTGCCCCTCTCCCGTGTGCGTGCGTTCCCTCTCAAAATAAATAAATAAACTTTAAAAAATCAGTAAGTAAAACATTATTGCCCTCCACCGCCCAAATAGTAAAATTATCATTAGAGGCAGATTTACCATTAAGCTAAAGGTAAGCTTAGACCCTTAGACTCCTGTCTGCATAGCCTCTGGGAGTGCTGGAAGTTACTAGAGATTTGTAACCAGTGTTCTAACTAGGAAGAAACCAGACTGCAACAGGAAGCATTTCTAATTGCCTAAAGAGGTTTCAGAAGAAAGGGACCCACGTTTCCAAGATTCCATAATTGGGTATTTTTTCCTTTATTCTCAGTAAATATTAATATGTGTTCCTAATTTTATTTTATTTTATTTTTTTTTAATGTTTATTCATTTTTGAGACAGAGAGAGACAGAGCATGAACAGGGGAGGGTCAGAGAGAGAGGGAGACACAGATTCCAAAACAGGCTCCAGGCTCTGAGCCGACAGCACAGAGCCCGACGTGGGGCTTGAACTCACGGACCGCGTGATCATGACCTGAGCCGAAGTCGGACGCCCAACCGACTGAGCCACCCAGGCGCCCCAATGTGTTCCTAATTTTAACGTGTGCCTAATTTTAGAGGGTCTCAACAAGTACTTACAAAAGCTTTAGGCCCCACAAAACCTGGCTCTGACCCTCCTTAGCATGGTGGCTAAGAACAATGACTCTGGAGCCACACACTACGTATGTGGCTTTAGACAAGTTACTGGTTTCTCCGCACCTGTTTTCTTCACCTATAAAATGGGGGCAATAATAAACCTAACTCATAGTAATGAGCACTAAATGAATTATATGTAAGAAGCTTGGAAGTGCTTGTAGTAAATGTTATGTATACCCTTATTATAATTAGTGAGTACCTAGGTTGTGCCTGGCACTGTTTTTATTTACTTTTAAAGATGTTATTTTATTTATTTTTAAAGTAGGCTCCACACCCACCCACACTCCGGGGATCGAACTGAACCCGGAGATAGAGTCTCACACTCCACCAAAAGAGACAGCCAGGCGCCCTCTGTGTTGAGTACTTTCAACACTAATTTACTTAATTCTCAGAATAAGATACAGAACATAGTATCTTCTCAGGGGAAGATACTAATAGAATGCACGTTTTAGATGTGCAGAAACTGAAGTTTTGAGAGACTGAATCGGTCTCTGGGATCAGGCCTGATTCCAAGAATCACACTTCCACCAACTTGATTTTGCCTAGAAAAGAAACAGCTTCCTTTAAGAAACCCCGGACCAGGGGCGCCTGGGTGGCGCAGTCGGTTAAGCGTCCGACTTCAGCCAGGTCACGATCTCGCGGTCCGTGAGTTCGAGCTCCGGGGCCTGGAGCCTGTTTCCGATTCTGTGTCTCCCTCTCTCTCTGCCCCTCCCCCCGTTCATGCTCTGTCTCTCTCTGTCCCAAAAATAAATAAACGTTGAAAAAAAAAAATTAAAAAAAAAAGAAACCCCGGACCAAACAAATTACTTCCCCTGAAGGCTCTATCACTGCGGAGTAGACCTCGTGATAGGTAGTCCCGGCCGAGTGACTATCCCCATCCAGAGAGTGGGCGAGATCTGATTCCGACCCTGGACCACAACTCCAGGTCGAGCACAGGGGAAGTGCAGACACGTGCCATCTTTCATAATACCCAGCCTTCTGCCGACAGGGGGCAACTCCTCCGCAGTCCAGTCTGATGCCAATGTCACTTTATTTGCCTGCAAGCCCCGCTTGCTCCGCCCACCTCGCCCAACTGCGCACATCACTGTTGGCCCCGCCCGTCATCCCTAAGTCCCACCTCCTAGCAGGTCGGTTTAGTCTACTCTCCGGAGGAGTCTCTGCCCATCGGCACTAGGCCCACCCCCTTCCTGGGGCCGCGAGCGCCGAACTCCTCGAACGCAGCCAATGGGTGATGCGGCGGCAGCACCGCGGGAGGTTCGATTCACTGGGCCTGGCGCGTTCGGAGAGTCCCGGCGGCTGTTAACGCGCGCTTTGCGGAGAGGAACGTTAAGCCGGGCTCCCTGGGCCCGGATTTACTTCTGCGGCTTTTTCCAGCTCTTCCTGGGATTCCCCTCCCAAGCCTGGGTGTTTTACCTGTTCTGCCTGGACCCCTGCTCGACCTCCCCTAGTCCTGGCCTGGCTTCCGCGCTCCAGACCTGGGAAAAACCCCTCCGCAGTCGAGCGCCTAGCCCTCCCCAGGCCTCAGCTTTTCACCCCAGCCCCTTTCCCCTGGCCTGTGATTACTTTTCCCCCTCAACTACTGCCTGCCATCACGTCCACTTGGACCATTATCCCAGCTCTGCCGAATCCGGCACTCCATCTGCCTCCTCCCTCTATCCCAGACTTTTACTCACCTTTCCTTGGATACTTCCTCTTTGGTCTGCTCTCCCGCCTTGGCTAACTGGCGACCGACACTCTCACAGTTTGGGCTCAAACTCCAGCCCCTGGCTGGATTCCCTCCATCCACACGCCCTCTTTAATTAGCTCATGCTTTCAATAATACAGCAGCCCGCTTTAATCCGCCCTGCTTCTGCATTCCCAGCTGTTGGGTGCCTTTGATCTTTGGCTGATGGGTACTTGACATTTTATGATCCTGAGCCCAGGATGGTAAGTATGGGCATAAGGGAGACTGTGGGGAGCCTTGTGTCTGGGTCTAGTGGACTCAGGCTGCAGGATCTCTGGAGATGCTCAACTTGCATTTTCCCCTTACAGAGGAAGAGCTTAGCTCCTAGCCAGCTGGCCAAGAGAAAACCGGAAGGCAGACCTGGTGATGAGGAAGATTGGCAGCCTAGGACAGTGGTGAGTACTCTACCCCACAGGGGTATAGGACAGGTGGGATGCAGGACTCTTTGGACAGAAAGGAATCCTGGACTTGGTTTCTGGGGTTACACGGAATGAAGCTGGTCACCTCCAGAAACCTCTTCAGTAAACTTTTAATGAGTGCTTACTTTGCATCATCAGGCATTGAACAAGATAAAATCTTTGTTCTCAAGGTGCTTACTAAAATCGAATATAGCCTCAATTTTTCTGATAGAAAAGGATATTTCAAAGCCAAAGAGTTGGGCTTGGGTTGGGCCTTTTGGCTTCCTTGGGGGAAAAAATGGCTCCCCAATAGCAACTAGCTGCCTGCTTTTTTTCCTCTTTGTCCCCTGCCCAATATCACAGAATAGTAGAATACTATAGGGCCTGCCTTAGGGTCCTGAGCTCACTTGGGCTTAGATTAGAGGAGTGGTGCCCTTCTAGTCTCTCCTAATACTCAAGTACAGTTTGATTTTGGTCTGGGTCCTGTGCTCTGTTGCCTGCTTTTGAGGCTTTCTGGGGTTGGCTGTGGGCAGGACCTATATAAATAAAAATCAACAGGATAATGTAGCATGTACTTCAGAGATAGAGAGGAGTTAAAGAAGGGCTTGGCCACTGGAACTTTGAAGGAAGGGATTAGCTAAGGAAGGTCTAGAAGACAATTTTGGGCAGGGGCTATATGTGAGAGGGAAAGAGACCCCATGTTTGTTTCAGGTGTGTCTCGTAGGATCATTGAAAGTTCAAGTACTTTTGGCAAGCTGCTACAGGCTTGCCTGATAGTTCCATGGGGTCTTGCTCTGTAGTTGCACCATTGCTGGTGTGCAGGAGGCTCCTCTACCTGTGAGGGACAAGGCTGCCCCTTGTTACTCACATGGGTCTCAGATTTGAATTTGGGGCGGCACTTCGTGCAGCTGGGTCATAAATGTTGCTGTTTGCGGCTGGTTGCTACTAAAAAATGCTTTCAGTGCTAGTGTCCTCACTGCCTTGGTGTGGGCTGACTGGCTTACTTCATTCACTTCATCCAGTACCCTTCTTCAGATTGGACAAGTTCTGTAACCTCATTAACCTAAGGATTTCTCACCTGCTAAATGAGTATAATAAATATTTATCATAGGATTACTGTGAAGATGATACACGATAATATACATGTAAAGAGTTTAGCACAATGCCTGGCATTTAATAAGTGTGTTAAATGTAGTTGTCATTTTGGTAAACTCTGTGGTCTTCCAGATTTCACCTTTCCCAATACTCTTCTAGACTCCCAAGAAACAGAAATCCAACAGTGGGACCCAGAGCAAAGAGTGTTTCCTGTCGCCTTTTCGGAAACCTTTGACTCAACTAACGAATCGACCACCCAGTCTGGACAGTAGTCAACATGTAAGTCAGAATTGCTACCTGCTGGTAAATGTGTGTGCCCTGTGGAGGCGCCTTTCTTGCTTTGTCTAGGGAGGCTTCTACTGTGGGTCCACCCACAGCCTCGAGGGCCTGGAAGAGTCCTGGCCTCTTGCCTTCTGAGATATGTTCCTGACTTGGAATCTCCCCTTGTTTAGAGCTATTTGGGCACCAGATCTCAGGTGGCTCAGATTCCTGAGAAAAGGGAAGGCCATGGCAGGGTATTGGAACCACGATCCCCATGCCAGCTCAGTCTCTCACTCAGCCTAACTTACAGGTTTCACGGGTTTCTTATAGTAAAATCAAATGTAATCTTTACTATGACAGGTTCTGGACATTATCTCATGTAACTCATTTTTTTAAGATGAGGAAACTGAGTCTCAGAGGGATTAAATAATGTGTCCCAAATTACAATTGCAGAGTAGTCAGAGCTGCTTAGTTTCACCAAAGCTTTTTCCACCAAACTTTCTGAGGACTGTTGTATTGAGCTCCGGCCTGGACCTCCAAAAATGTTTGGAATTTCTTAAGTGAATAAGTAATAAAGGTGTCTTTTATTATTCATAAAAAACCCTTTCAGCTACACCTGAGTTTATGTTAAATGAGATTTCATTTGTAAAGTGTCTAACCTTGATGGCTGCTTGCTAGGGGAACCAACCCACCAGTGGCCACTGTTTAATCAATCATGCCTATGTAATGAAGCCTCCATAAAACCCCAAACGGTCATGGTTTGGAGAGCTTACGAATAGGTGAACAGGAGCTCATCCATGTGCCAGGAAGTGGCACATCCCAAACTCCAGAGGGACAGAAGCTCCTGTGCGCAGGACCCTTCCAGACCTTGCTCTATGTATCTCTTCTGGCTGTTCATATCCTTTATTTTATTAAAAAAAATTTTTTTTAATGTTTGCTTATTTTTGAGAGAGTGTGCTCACGCGAGCCGTGGAGGGGCAGAGAGAGAGAGGGAGACACAGAATCCAAAGCAGGCTCCGGGCTCTGAGCTGTCAGCATAGAGCTCGTCTCGGGGCTCAAACTCACGAACTGAACCATGAGACCATGACCTGAGTGGAAGTTGGATGCTTAACCAACTGAGCCACCCAGGCGCCCCTGTTCATGTCCTTTAATAGCCTTTGTGATAAACTGGTAATCTAATGGGTAAACTTAGTTCCTGAGTTCTGTGAGCCACTCTAGAAAATTAATTAAACCCCAGGAGGGGGTTGGGACCCTCTGATCTAGAGCTTGTTGGTCAGAAGCACAGGGAGCAACCTGGATTTCGGATTGGTGTCTAAAGTGGTGGGGAGAGGCAGGCTTGTGAGACTGAGCCCCTAACGTGTGGGATCTGATGCTATCTCCAGGTAGGTAGTGTCACAAATGAGTTAAATTATAGGACACCCAGGTGGTGCTGAATAATTTCTTGTATATAGAAAACACATCTGGTGTCAAGTGAAGTGCTGCGGTAGAATGGGGGAGACATACAGGAGTGTGTTTTTCCTTTACAGGGACGTTTTGGAGGAAAAATGGGAATATATAGTGGACATTAGTTATTTGTGTGTTCAGCAAACATTTTAAAACATTTTTATGTAATACTTGATAAATACAAAGGAATATGCATATAACATGTGAGATAAAAAACACCTGTGAACCCACCATCCGGCACTCAAACATTAAAGTCATAATCCCTTTTCCCATCCTGAGAGGTAACCACTATCCTGAATTATCTTCATCATCCCTTGCTTTTGTGATAGTTATGTGTATATAATTCACTAAATAATACATTGTTTAATGGTTTACTGAGCCGTTAAAAATGGTGTGTAGTTCTCTGGGACTTTTTTTTCTTTTAATTTTTAAAAATTTTAAAATATTTTTTTTTAATTTAGATTCAAGTTAGTTAACGTATAGTATTGGTTTCAGGAGTAGAATTTAGTGATTCATCACTTACATGCAACACCCAGTGCTCGTCCCAAAAAGTGCCCTCTTTAATGCCCATCACCCATTTAGTCCATCCCCCCACCCAGCACCCAGCCAGCAACCCTCAGTTCTCTATATTTAAGAGTCTCTTATGGTTTGCCTCCCTGTCTGTTTTAATCTTATTTTTCCTTCCCTTCCTATGGGACTCTTCATTCAGGATTCATTCAAGTTGTCCTATGTAAGCATATGACATAAGTGCAGGTGTAGTGGGAGTATACAACAGGGGTCTAACCACCTGGAGGTTGGTGAAGACTTGAATCTGAGGGGTAGGACGATTAGGTTGAGTCCTCAAGGATATGAGGAGTCAGCCAGGTGAAGAGAGTGGGAGGTGTTCTAGGTGTGTTCTAAAGGCAAAAGTGCCTCAGGCCCAGAAAAATCTTAACAGTGCAGCCCTGGGGATGAGCACTTAGATGTGATGTGTTTTGAAGTCTGATAGGATATCTAGGTTTGGGGATAGTTGCAAGTATAGGTAGGTGTGGAGCCTAAGAGGAAGCTGGGGACTGGGAATAGATTTGGGATCCTTAGCATAGAGATGATATTTGACACCTCCAAAGTGTATTGGAGTGTCACAGTGAGTGTGCATTCAGGAGCTGAGAGACAATCCCTGAGCCCTGAGAAACACTGACTTTTAAGGGGGTTAAGCAGAGAAAGAAGAGCTCATTAGGGGGCTGAGCATGAAGTTCTAGGTCCTGACCTAGAGGTCAGAATAGTAGGAGAGTGGTGTCATGGAATTCAAAGGCAGAGAATATTTTAGAAGAAGGAGTGGCCAGCTTTATCTTCTACCAACATAAGGATAGGGACATGTCCACTGGAATTAAGGTTATGTAGGCCATTGGTGATCTTGGCCAGTCATTTCAGAGGAGTAGAAATGGCAGAAGATACCAGGAGTGGAAGATTAGAAAAGGGAAGCAGACAATTTGTAGCAGTTTGAAAGGGAGGAGATAAGAGGTCAAAGGAATTTTTGTTTTTAAGATAGTTAAGCATGTTTTGAATGCTGGTGGGAAAGTGAAGTGGTAGTAGAGAGGGAGAGGCTGAGATACAGGAAAGATCTAGCAGAACTGATTGAGTGAATCTCTCTGGAAGAGGGAAGCTTTGACCTTGTTGGGAAGGAGGGATACTCTTCCTCTTCTATCAGAAGGAAGGGATGGTATGAATTTTCAGTAACTAAATAAAGTGAGAGCATGCTCTCTCCCCTGCCTCTTGTCAGTCTTACCAGACCAGATTTTCTGAAGCAGGCCATTGCAAGTCTTACAGGCTGTGCCCTCCTGTTTTTGGCCAGGGATGCTCATGCTAATTGTACAAACTTGCAGTTCTCCCTGCGGACCCTATGGTTACTGGGTTTTAGTGAAAGTCTTGCTTTTTAAATCTGTGCATAAGTTTTTGGCTACCCTGAGCCTCAAATCTAGCCTTCTGTATTGAACATATTGAAAAGAAGATTTCAGTTTTTTGGGGGTGCCTGGCTGGCTCAGTCAGTGGAGTGTGAGAATCTTAATATTGGGGTTGTAGTTTCATGCCCCACATTGGGACATTGAGTGTAGAGATTACTTTTAAAAAATCTATTTCATTTCATTTCATTTCATTTCATTTCATTTTTAGGGGGAGGTGCAAGTGAGTGAGGGGCAGAAAGAGAGAATCCCACAAGGGGCAGAGAGAGGGAGAGAAACAGGGCTTGTGCTCACCCAAAGTGGGGCTCATGCTCACCTGAAGCGGGGCTTGAGCTCACCCGATGTGGGACTTAAAAAAAATCTTAGGGGAGTCTGGGTGGCTCAGTTGGTTAAGCATCCAACTCTGACTCAGGTCATGATCTCGCAGTTTGTGGGTTCAAGCCCTATGTTAGGCTCTGTGCTGACAGCTCAGAGCCTAGAGCCTGCTTTGGATTCTGTGTCTCTCCTTCTCTCTCTGCCCCTCCCCTGCTTGCGCTCTGGCTCTCAAAAATAAATGTAAAAAAAAAATAAATAATTTTTAAAAAATCTTTGAAAAAATTGTTTTAGAATTGAAGCTAAATTAGAAAGGAAATTAGAGTCCATCTCCTTTCTTTTCCTCTCCTTTGAAGAGTAGCTTTTTGATAGCGTTGTTCATATACGTTTCTCATTATCATTGCTATTCATAATTATAATAAGCATAGTCAATATGCTTATTATAGTCAATAAAAGATTTTATTCAGCTGCAAAGAAATATGCAGTTAACAGAGAATTTGGGCCTTCCTCCAACCTTCCTTTGTCATGTTATTTAACGTGATGAAGTTCAGTTCTCCACATTCTTTTTCTGTCTTCCAGTAGATTGTCAAATGTGTTCATTACATTTTTCCTATTTAAAGTACACTGAGTTTCTAGAAATTTATGATCAGTATAGCAGTGGGTCAGAATAAAAAGGTAAAAAATTTCAGGGCAAGACAGGTGTGCTTTTTTCCCTATTAAACCTTTTTGTTTGAGGGGTGTATTTTTCATTATTTCTTTTTCCACTAATGTATTACCCATTAAAACTACCGTGAGGGGTTCTGTTTTTTCTCTTTGCTATCTTGGGTTTTAGCTCTTGTTTTGTTGAGGTTCACAGGCCATTGTAATTCCCCAGAGGGCTCAGGGACATTACACACACACACACACACACACACACACACACACCCACCCACCCCAGAACTTTAATGGGAGTTGTCAGAGTTGGCTCAGGGGCTGGTGCTGTGGACTCCCCTACCTTCTCTCCCTATCTTCTCTCCTGCCCCAGCCTGACGTGGGTCTTGAACTCATGAACTGTGAGATCACCACCTCAGCCTAAACCAAGAGTTGGATGCTTAACCAACTGAGCCACCCAGGCACCCCTCTGGTGTTTTCTTCTTAAGGTGCTGCACCCTAGGGAATATTTAATTGTCCTCACTGACATGGCCTTTCATGAACAAATGGGTCTAAGCCTTGTGGTTGATTGAGGTTGGTTACTTGCCAGTGGCACTCTCCTCTCCCTGAGTATTTGTGTTCTAAATGCACTCTTCTCTCCCTGAGTATTTGTGGAATCTTATGTAAAGCCTCAAAGATGAAAGCTGTTGTATAAAACCTAATAACCTAATAAGGAACACATGTCCTTATGTTTTTTTTCTTTTAAGTTTTTTTTCTTTTAAGTTTTTATTTATTTTGAGAGAGAGCACATGCATGTAATCTGGGTAGAGACAGACAGAAAATCCCAAGCAGGCCCTGTGCTGACCAGGGGTAGGGTGGGGTGGGGGAGCTCAGTCTTATGGACCATGAGATCATGACCTGAGCCGAAATCCGGAGTCGGACGCTTAGGTGCTCAGGTGCCTACGTGGCTCGGTTGGTTAAGCTTCAGATTTCAGCTTAGGTCATGATCTCCTGGTCCTTGAGTTCGAGCCCGCATCAGGCTCTCTGCTGACAACTCAGAGCCTGGAGCCTGCTTTGGATTCTGTGTCTCTCTCTCTGCCCTTTCCCCATGTGCACTGTCTCTCAAAATAAATAAGCATTAAAAAAGTCAGACGCTTAACTAACTGAGCCACCCATATGCCCCTCCTTATGTTCTAAATGCATCTGAGTGAGATGTAATCAAAATATAATACTCTGAATGTATTTATTATCTTTAAATTTTAGACTGCATTTGTAGAAATATTATCCCCAAACCTCTCCAATCAGTCCTGAATCCCTGTTTCTTTTTCTTTTTAGGAAGCCTTTATTCGAAGCATTTTGTCAAAGCCTTTTAAAATTCCCATTCCAAATTATCAAGGTAAAAATAGAGACTTTTCTATCTTTTGAATCAATCGTGCAAATGTATGATGAAATGAATAGAGGAAAACCTCTGCTTCTGTAATACATGCTTACTTTGGAATTGAAGATGCCAGCCCAGTGGTGTCTGTGTATGGAATGGCTCCAGAGGCTTGCATGAAGGCTGTATTTGATAGTTTGAGCAAGGGCTGCCACACCTGACTGCCCCTCATCTCCTTGGTGGGGATGTGCCAGTGCTCAGGAATCTCCTGGTGGGCCCAGGTGGTTGATGGGCCCAGGCTTCATTCAGTCTGAGTAATTTCAGTAGCATCTTGTGTCTGAGGTTGGCTGTGTCTGAGACCTGGGTTCTACAGCGTTTTCCCTGACTTCTGTAGAGCATATTATTGTGCTAAAACTGGGACTGGAGAGGGAGGAGGCCAACTTTCAAGAGCCTTCCATCTTGAAAGGCCCTTTGGGTTCCACACCTTTCTAGGATTGACTTGAGATGAACAAGACCCAACCCTCCAGAAGTTTATAGTTAAATGGAAGAAACAAAATGGGGAAAAACTGATCTGAAGCAGGTTGGGATAATGGTCAGGTAGAGGTGCCCCGCTGGGTTTGGAGAGGTTCTGGGAGAGAGAAGGTCGTATGCAAGCTTAAAGGTCATATGAAAGATAAGTATTTAAGCTGGGCGTGCTGATCTCAATATAGAGCCCCAGGTGACAGATTGTTGGTTTCTAGGTCCTCTGGGCTCTCGTGCATTGGGCCTCAAAAGGGCTGGGGTCCGCCGGGCCCTCCATGACCCCTTGGAAGAAGGTGCCTTGGTTCTGTATGAGCCTCCCCCTCTGAGTGCCCACGACCAGCTGAAGCTTGACAAGTATGTGCATTGGTATTTCTTGAACAGGTTTGGTTTTCTGTTAAGTGCACATACCTGGGAGGGCAGAGGGAATTTTGGTGTGACTTTTTTTTTCCCCCTTGGGATTGGCATGCTTTCAGAGTGCTGTCATGACCACTGCATCATCCAGAGAGTGGGTAGGTGGGGAAGGAGAGTGTGTGGGGAAGAGCTTGTGGGCATGTCCAGTTGGTGGGGGTTCCTCACCCTTCCTGCCAAGCTTGCTCAAGGGAGCAGGAGGGATTGGTGACACAGGGAGCCCTCTCCTCACCTTCTAACTCCTGGAGCAAAATTTTGCTATGGTTTGATTATCAGGCTAAGAAGGTCTTCTCTTAGGCAGCTGCCTCTGGCCTCTAGATCAGCAGGACACAACTTCCTGAGGGTGTGGCCTTGCACATGTCTGAGCACTATATTTTCTTTGCTGTGTTTTCTCAGGGAAAAACTCCCTGTCCATGTGGTTGTTGATCCCATTCTCAGTAAGGTCTTACGGCCCCATCAGAGAGAGGTAAGGGGAGCTGGGGTAAAGAGGTATGAGATGGGAGGCTGTCATCCGTGGGGCTGCAGCAGTGTGGATCAAAGTGGCCTGAATGCTGTTATTCCCCAGGGAGTAAAGTTCCTGTGGGAGTGTGTCACCAGTCGGCGCATCCCTGGCAGCCACGGCTGTATCATGGCTGATGAGATGGGTCTGGGCAAGACGCTGCAGTGCATCACATTGATGTGGACGCTTTTGCGCCAGAGTCCAGAGTGCAAACCGGAAATTGACAAGGCAGTGGTGGTGTCACCCTCCAGCCTAGTGAAGAACTGGTACAATGAAGTTGGGAAATGGCTTGCAGGGAGGATCCAACCTCTGGCCATTGATGGAGGCTCTAAGGACGAGATAGACCAAAAACTGGGTATGGAGCCTTAACTCTTCCATAGAGCTTGCTCGCTTCTTGTATGTATGCTCACTTATGGCCAGTAGGTTGAGGGCACCGAGGGGGTGGAAGAGAATTCCATGGAAAATAATAGTTTCAGGCTAAATTAAAGAACCGTGAAACTTTTTTTGTTTAAGGTATTCTAAGATTTGTTCCCTTGACCTGTTTTCTGTTGTAGAAGGATTCATGAACCAGCGTGGAGCCCGAGTGCCTTCTCCCATCCTTATCATTTCCTATGAGACATTCCGCCTTCACGTTGGAATCCTCCAGAAAGGGAGTGTTGGACTTGTCATCTGTGATGAGGTACTTGCCTCTCAGCAGTCTGGGTGGTAGGAGGAAGTGTTGAAATCTCCTAATAACTGCCATCCAAAGGCTGTGCCAGTCACCAGGGAATATTAAGGACAGAGCTTGTTGCCTTAGAGGATGCAAGTGAGAGGGAGAGCCTTTGATGTCAGCCTGCCAAAAGGGATTAAGCAGTGCTTGGAACTTGAGGAGGGTGAGGTACTGTGGGCTGTTTGATTGCTTCCAGTCAGTATTCTTAGACTGAAGAAGGACTTTGAAGGATGAGAGGGATTTGGATAGGTGGAGACAGACTGTATAGTGTTTAAGGGAATAGGTTCTGGAGTCAGACTAGTTTTGTTTGTTTGTTTGTTTTTTAATATTTTTGAGAGAGAGAGACATGGAGTGTGAGTGGGGGAGGGGCAGAGAGAGAGAGGGAGACACAGAATCTGAAGTGGGCTCCAGACTCTGAGGTGTCAGCACAGAGCCTGATGTGGGGCTCCAGCCCACAAGCTGTGAGATCATGACCTGAGCCAAAGTCAGACACTTAACCGGCTGAGCCATCCAGGCACCCCAAGAGTCAGACTTGTTTTCAAATTCTAGCTCTTCTACTTACCAGTAAAATGACGTCGGACAAGTTACTTAACCACCCGAGCCTCTATTTTCACGTCAGTAAAATGGGCTTATAATATTTGTTTCATGGGTTATTGTGAGGGTTAAATGAGGTGAATGAGGGAAAGCTCTTACCAAGTGCCTGGTATGTCCTAAGACTTTGGTAAAGGTCATAGAACTCTGTTTTTTTATTCTAGGCTGGGGGAATGCATATGAACAGAAGCACAGAGGTAGGAAAGTCCAGTGTGGATAGTCCATACACCTTACACCAGTCCGTACTGACTCGCTGGGACAGAGGGAAATGTGGCAGTAGTTACTTACTAGCCTTTTCCACCACTATGCATGAATGGTGGTAATGATGCTACTACTTAGAAAGGAATAAGGGTGGTGGGAGCTTCCCAGTATAAACAATTTTCCAGGGGCACCTGGGTAGCTCATTCAATTAAGAGTCCAACTCTTGGTTTCTGCTCAGGTCATGATCTCATGGTTTGTGGGTTTGAGCCCCGCGTTGGGCTCTGCGCTGATAGTGCAGAGCCTGCTTAAGATTCTCTCTCTCCCTCTCTCTGCCCCTCCCCCCTGCTCGCGCTTTCAAGGTCTCTCTCAAAATAAATAAACTTAAAAAATGAATTTTCCAGGTTTTCAGGGTGCTTGGCTACCCTGAGGCTGCTACCATTATTTGTACCTCTTGGGAAGAATTAAGGCCACCTTGCACACCCCTGGGTCTTTAGTGGAGATGTGGCTGAAAGACTTGGCCCCCATTTGTCAACTGATTGGGAAGCTTGACTGTGCTCTGGGAATTGTAGGTTTTTAGCTCAGTATCCGAGGGACTTTTGGGACAGGACAGAGAAGAAAGGCTTACTTTTGGGATGCCATGCTTGCTACTTATAAGCTCTTTCCCAATTAGGCTTTTGTCCTTAATAAAGAGTTAGTCATTGTTGGGCAAGTGTGCCAACTGCTGATACCTTGATGGGCTGTTCTTGTAAGAATAAAGGATATAGGAGGTTGAGGTAGGGTATATGTGTGATAAACCCTATGAAGCTCAGGGTCCTAGCCCATCTGGATTTTATTCTGCTCTGCAGTGTTTCTTTTCTTTCTCATTCTCTCTTGTTTTCTGAGCTGACTCTGCAGGGCAGAAGGGACCAGGCTGCTGCTTGTCACACTTAGCATCCTGGCCTGCCTTTTTACTCATCTACCTTTTATTTGTCAGCAGTTTGTCAATTGTCAGAGACCTGAGGAAGCCAGTCCTGGAAGACTGCCTACTCTAGGAGGAGTTTGTCCTGTTCATACCCACAACTTCCTTCTAGCTGATGGGTCTTTCTGGAACACAGAAGTGCTGCGTAATAACTCTGTGTACAAAATCTTTGATCCCTCATAGTAACCTGAGCTAGGTTACTCAGGTTACTAGGGCAAGTCAAGAAGACATGGGGTCAGCCTTGGTGTTGCCACTTGTAAGCACAATGCAGAAGAGACTGCTCAGAGACTCAGTGACTTCTGTACAGTGGATGGCACAGGGTATACCTGAAAGGGACACGATCCTGATCAAGAGAGATCTATGGAAGCATTTTGGAAAGTGTATGAATAGGTGAGGGATTGACATCATTGTCATCTCCGTTTTGGAGGTTAGGAGTGCAGTGACTTGCCTAGGGTTTCCCCTGTGAGGACCTAGTGAGCTGGGACTTGAATTCAGGCCTGGGGTTTTAAGACCGGGCTCTTATCCCTTAGTGCCTTGGATATAATCCAAAACGTGGTATAGGAAGCTTGGCTTAGGTATGGAAAGACTGGCCCTTTTGTCTTTAAAAAGGATAAACGGGGGCGCCTGGGTGGCGCAGTCGGTTAAGCGTCCGACTTCAGCCAGGTCACGATCTCGCGGTCTGGGAGTTCGAGCCCCGCGTCAGGCTCTGGGCTGATGGCTCAGGGCCTGGAGCCTGTTTCCGATTCTGTGTCTCCCTCTCTCTCTGCCCCTCCCCCCGTTCATGCTCTGTCTCTCTCTGTCCCAAAAATAAATAAACGTTGAAAAAAAAAATTAAAAAAAATAAAAAATAAAAAAATAAATAAATAAAAAGGATAAACGGAGAACTCTGCCAGAACAGAAATTCAGCAGCAGCTTATTAATAAGAGCTCTGACAGCTTTTCATCTGGCCAAATATTTGATTTGCTGAGATGCCAGAGTTTGGGTCTTATTTTTATTATTATTATTATTTTTTTTTTTTTTTAATTTTTTTTTCAACGTTTTTTTTTTATTTATTTTTGGGACAGAGAGAGACAGAGCATGAACGGGGGAGGGGCAGAGAGAGGGAGAGACACAGAATCGGAAACAGGCTCCAGGCTCCGAGCCATCAGCCCAGAGCCTGACGCGGGGCTCGAACTCACGGACCGTGAGATCGTGACCTGGCTGAAGTCGGACGCTTAACCGACTGCGCCACCCAGGCGCCCCTTATTTTTATTATTTTTTTAAAATTTTATTTTTAAGCAATCTCTAACATGGGGGCTCAAACTGAGGACTCTGAGATCAAGAGTAGCATACTCTTCCGACTGAGCCAGCCAGGCAACCCAGAGAGTTTGGGTTTTAAATCTGTGGGTGATGGTGGGAGGAGCTGGGTCTGGAGCTGGGGTGTTCCCATAGGGAGCTGGTATTGGCTTACACTTCCACAGAGACCCACAGGGATAGTGTGTCAGCCCAGTTCATTTGTTGGATTATTTATTAAGTGCCTGTCATGCATCAGGCCCTGGGAATCCCATTGATATCTGCCCTCAGGGAGCTTCAGTTTAGAGGGACCCAATTGTTGACCCCTATTTCCCTAGGGTATTTTTTGGGTTTTTCTGTTTGTTAAAAAAAATTTTTTTTTAATGTTTATTTTTGAGAGAGAGAGAGAGACAGAGCACAAGCAGGAGAAGGGCAGAGAGAGAGGGAGACAAGAATCCAACGCAGGCTCCAGGCTCTGAGCTGTCAGCACAGAGCCCTACGTGGGGCTTGAACCCAAGAACTGCAAGATCATGACATAAGCCAAAGTTGAATGTTTAACTGACTGGGCCACCCAGGTGCCCTTCCCTGGGGTCTTTTGGGGAATTTCCTCACAAGCTTCAAGTTTTATTTCCCTCTTTGACTCCAAAGTGTCAGCCTTCTGTTTTCAGGACTAGTGCTTGGAGCCTCTAATCATTTTGTATTTTTTTGTTTGTTTTGGATGTCTTAAAAATTATTTTAATTGAAATGTAATTGACATGACATTGTATTAGTCTTAGGTATACAACATCCAGTCATTTTTAAAGATTAAAATTCTATGTCTAATTCTTTAATAGCAACATTGGTTATTCTTTCATTTAACAAACACTTACTGAGCAGTTCTCTGTGGGGGACTCTGTCATGTACACCAAGTTATATAAAGGCAAATCTGACATGGTCTCTGTTTGAAGAAGTTCCTGTCTAGGTGAGGAGATTGAGTACATACAGTAGAGTATGATTAGTACTCTGTGTAGCAGTAGACGAGAGGCAGAGTAGTACAGTGCCCAGATTTTGGAATCACACAGACCTGAGTTCAAATCCTAGTTCTGCTACTTCCTTAAAAAAATTGTTTTATGTTTATTCATTTTTGAAAGACAGAGAGCACAAGCAGGGGTGGGGCAGAGAGGGAGGGGGCACAGAATCCGAAGCAGGCTGCAGGCTCCGAGCTGCCAGCACAGAGCCCGACGTGGGGCTCGAACTTATGAACCGCGAGATCATGACCTGAGCCGAAGTCAGACACTCAACCGACCGAGCCACCCAGGCACCCCCTAGTTCTGCTACTTTTTACCGGTGTGGGATTTTGGTGTGTTCACCTTTCTGAACTTCATTTTCTCTAAAATAGGTATTACAATTCCCACTCATCTAATTGTTATCTGGATTATAGAAGGGAATATACAGGAAGTGCTGCTTATTAGTCCAGTGCCTGGCACTTGGAAAAGATTTAGTAAACAGCTATTATGTACAGAGTGCCATAGGAGCATGGAAGTGGGAGACACCAACAGCTTGGGGTCAGTGAGGAGGGCTTTGCATTGGAGGTGACATTGAGGAATTTGCCTGTGGGAGAGAATTCTGGGCAGAGGAGTGGCATGGGCAAAGAGACCTAAGGAACTCCAACATTAGGAGTGAGGAGGAGTTATGGCTTCCTGGACTAAGACGAGCTGTGAAGACTTGTCAGAGAAGTTAGCTGGGGTCTTACTGAGAAGTGCTAAACTAATGAGCTTGGGCTTGATCCTAGACACAGGAGGGTCAGTAGAGGGTCTGTGTTTAATTTCATCATACAAGGCTGGCCAGAGGAAGCATGCTGACTTGTTTGTCCATTCTTTCATTGGTGGTTGCATTTGGGGCTGAAATGGAGACTGTGGATAGAACAGGCGCAGGCTTGATCTTGCCCATGTGGTTCTTGGGGAAAGAGGGAAGATGATAGGGTCCTTTACCACTTCCTTGAAAAGGGCTTAAAAGAGAGAAGTAACAGGGTGTGTATGAAGGATGGGTAACGAATTGGGGAAGAGATACAAAGGGAGGAAGAGAGGCTCTTAGGATTCTGCAGGGAGCGGGAAGAAGGAGCCTGGGCCAAGTCCAGAGGGACTTGGGCTCTGACAACCCAGACATGGCCTGTAAACCAATCCAGAAAGCATCTGGCTCAGGAGGTGTTCTGGGTTGGTTTGGCTAGTGGGAAGGGAGGATTCCCTGAAAGCATGGGTCGCTAATGTGGCTGAATGTCTCTGAAGAGGATAGGCAGGCTGCTAGGGCTCTGGAGGTTAGGGCAGGGAAAAGGAGGTGAGGTAATAATCCAGGGAATTGTTGTTTTATGGATGGATGTAACACTAGTGGTCTGGAAACTGAAGGTCTGTCTCTTGAACGTGACATTTCTCCGTAAGCAAGCAGGTAGGTTCTCATTCTTGCTGTGCCCTGCCCAGTTCCTAAGGCCCCAGAGCCTGTAATGTTTGATTCCTCTTTCCTCTTTTCCTGTCTACACAAGACTTTGCTATCATTAGGGATGCCTTATCATGCCCAGGCCTAAGCGAGAATTAATTTCCTTGCAGGGACACAGACTTAAGAACTCTGAGAATCAGACTTACCAGGCCCTGGACAGCTTGAACACCAGCCGGCGGGTGCTTATCTCTGGGACCCCCATCCAGAATGATCTCCTTGAGTATTTCAGCTTGGTACATTTTGTTAATTCGGGCATTCTAGGTAAGATTCCAGCCTTGTCTGCTACATTGGAGAGGAGCCTTGCCTTGGCCTTGGGAGTATAACTCTAGCTGAAGAGAGAAAGGAGAGAATGCTAGTTATAACATGTGGGTCACTAGTCACTCTTGTAGGAAGGCTTCTCTTGTCAGGGAGTAGCAAAGCCATTGGGAGACCGTGGTTCTGCTGAACAGCTCAGCAAGGACCACCGTAGCCATTTTTCCAGTACAGAGGTAGCAGGGGCTATGCACAGTATGGTGTCACTATGAGCTGGGGGTGGAAACACTACCCCTAGGCATTTTTGCTCATTGCATTGTAGCTGCCTCATAAGAGCTTTGGCCTCAGAACAGACTGTCTTGGGCTGTTTTGTTTTGTTCTAAACTACTTTTTAGTGTACAATTCAGTGTCCTGAAATATACTTACATTGTTGTGCAAATATCATCACCATCCATCTCCAGAACTTTTTTCATCTTTCAGAACTGAAACTCTACCCATTAAATAATAACTCCCCATGTCCCATCCCCCCTCACCTCCCAGCCTCTGGAAACCACAGGTGGACAGTTCTTGCGCTTAAATATCTATGGGAGGATGTCTTAGTGCCACCTTAACTTGCTGTTGCTCAGGAAGATGGCTTTAGGCAAGAACCAGCTAAGCCATAGAATTTTCATGTGAACACATTTGTGTAACCACTATCAGATCAATTACTGCCACCATCTCAGCGACACCCCCTTCTAATCATTATTCTCACCTTTTCCCCCAGAAATCTCTTCTGACTCAAGATTGGTTTGTCCTATTTTTGAACTTTTGTAAATGGAATAAAACAGTATTCCTTGCCATCTAGTTTCTTTTTGTTCATTATGTTTGTGAGATCAGTCCATGTTGTGCAGTAGTTTGTTTTCTTGTTTGTGTATTTCATTTTCATGAATATACCAGGCTTTATCTGTTCTGTTGGACAGTTGAGTTTCCAGTTTTTTATTCTTTTGAATAATTTTTGTACATGTCTTTACCTGAGCATAGTATGCATTTCTGTTGTGTACATATGCATTCTCTGTCCTATGAGTGGAATTT